ATATTTTTATGCTCTTTATATCACCATAAAGCTCCAATTAAGCTCTTTCCTTTGAGAATAAATTCAATATTTTGAAATAAGTATATATTGCGCTACATGTTCCTGAAAAAAGAAAATTTTGAAAAACTGGCAAGTTGGAGTTGATTTTTTGGAAAACCCCACTTTTTATTTCTTTTATTTTTATTTAGAGTTAGTTAATATAGTAGTCGATCAAAAACTACCAACAGAAATTATAATATACTGTTTGTATGGTCGCTATTAAGACTCGAATCTCGTGCTATGAGCGTTTTGAACGGGACTTCGCACAGGCGCTCTGCTGAGCTTAATTTCGGCCTATGTAAGGTTTTCTATTTATTGTTAGCAGTTACGTCAATATGCAACCATAAACAATAATAAATTTTGGAGGAGTGTACTTAAAAAAATTTACTTCGAAGTTCGTATCCACAAGTGCGGGCACCTGCGCTTACTTCCTCCCAATACTGGGGAATGCAGATCGTCAGAGAATTCCTTGCGGCCTTTTGCTTTCGGCTTTGACTTTGAAATACCGAACTTGACATGTAATTGTCATATTTTCTTTTGTCAAACAGATATGCAGTGCATATACATATGTACGATTTAGTATCTGACGCTTAGGAAGCATGGTTTATTTCGTGCGCATATGGACTCTTTCTTGAAATATCAAGCATTTCGTAGCGTGTAAGGCTTCCAACGTTTAGTCATGTGTTTAGGTTTTATTTCTATTTTCAGTGATGCATGCCGGGTTACTTAGACTTTTTCCTCTTGACTTCAGTTGGTCCGGGAGCCTATATGTTACGTATCTTCTCTGTCAATACATAGGGCGAAGCTCACACACCTTCCAAATCACGCCAGTGCCAAGTAAATAAATATTCTTAGGATAAATATTGTTGCTTCACTGGCTTTCACGCTCAGATATTGAGGTAAGTACTAACATTAAATAGAAAACCTTACATAGGTAAAAATTCTGCTCAGCTGAGCGTCTATGCGAAGTCCCGTTCAAAACGCTTAGAGCACAAGACTTGAGTCCTAATAGCCGCCATACAAACAATATATTACAATTTCTGTTGGTAGGTCCTGGCAGACCACTATACTACCTAACTAAATAAAAAATTAAAAAAAAACAAAAGGTGTTCTTTTTTAGAAAATCGACTTCAAACTTGCAAGTTTTTCTAAAGAAAGTCTTGCAAGTTAGAAGTCGATTTTCTAAAAAAAACTTTTACCTTTTATTTATTTAATTTTTTATTTACAGTTAGATAATATAGTAATCTATCAGGGCCTACCAACAGATATTGTAGTATATTGTTTGTATGGCGGCTATTAGGACTCGAGTCTCGTGCTCTAAGTGTTTTGAACGGGACTTCGCATAGACGCTCAGCTGAGCAGAATTTTTACCTATGTAAGGTTTTCTATTTAATGTTAGTACTTACCTCAATATCTGAGCGTGAAAGCCGGTGAAGCAACAATATTTATCCTAAGAATATTAATTTACTTGGCACTGGCGTGATTTGGAAGGTGTGTGAGCTTCGCCCTATGTATTGACAGAGAAGGATACGTAACATATAGACTCCCGGACCAACTGAAGTCAAGAGGAAAAAGTCTAAGTAACCCGGCATGCATCACTGAAAATAGAAATGAAACCTAAACACATGACTAAACGTTGGAAGCCTTACACGCTACGAAATGCTTGGTATTTTAAGAAAGAGTCCGTACGCACACAAAATAAACCGTACTTCCTAAGCGTCAAATACTAAATCGTATATATGTATATGCACTGCATATCTGTTTGACATAAGAAAATATGACAATTACATCTCAAGTTCGGTATTTCAAACTCAAAGCCAAAAGCAAAAGGCCCCAAGGAATTCTCTGACGATCTGCATTCCCCAGTATTGGGAGGAAGCAAGCGCTGTTGCCCGCACTTGTGGATACGGACTTCGAAGTAAATTTTTTTAAGTACACCACTATAAATTTTATTAATGTTTATGGTTGGATATTGAGGTAACTGCTAACGATAAATAGAAAACCTTACATAGGTCAAAATTCTGCTCAGCAGAGCGCCTGTGCGAAGTGCCGTTCAAAACGCTCATAGCACGAGATTCGAGTCTTAATAGCGACCATACAAACAATATATTACAATTTCTGTTGGTAGTTTAGATAGACTACTATATTAACTAACTCTGAATAACAAATAAAAGAAATAAAAACTGTTTTTTTTTTTCAGACAATCGACTCCAAACTTTTTTCGAAATTTTCTTTTTTCAGGAACATGTAGCGCAATATATACTTATTGCAAAATATTGAATCTATATTAAAAATAAAAGAGCTTAATTGGAGCTTGACGGTGATATAAAGATCATAAAATTATGTTGGTTAGGTCACACAGCACAGCTTCTTGAACTTCGTCAAATATCGTCGCAGAGAGGCGGTTTGACAAATAAAAAAAATCATTAAGAATGTTATGACCTAGACGCTTAATTGGCATGAAAAAGCCTATGTCTAGAGTGTTCCCAAGAAGTTGTATTGATGTAGCGTAAAAAGTAGGGAAAAGGGATGGAGTGAAATATGGGCATCTCAGATAAGCTGGAACAACGTCAGTTTCCACCTTGCCAGCTTCAACGGTTCATAACTTGAGAACAAAAAATCCGACAAAATTGCCGTTTGCGTCTTCTTTTATTATAGGAATTGCCCCAAAACATATATTTGTTTCCTCAAAATTAAAAATTCGACCCTAAATCCGTGCCTGAGCTGAGATGAAATCACCCAGATATATATAATAATAATAATAATAATAAAATTTATTCAGTAGTGCAGGTATGGCCAGTTGAACATCGGGTCCGATCAAAGCCATCAGGGACTTGTGGCACCAGGCCCATCATTGGAAAATACAAAAAAGGGAGTTCGCACGGAATAACATCACGTGCAGGAAAAAAAAGCAAATAACATACAGATGATTCACTTGGCAGAATGTAGTCGGAATGTTTGTGTCAGTGACTTGGGTGAAGCTGTGAAGATGAAACTATTGCAAACGTTGTCTTGATCACTGTGTCGATTACAATCATTAAAGTCATAAAAGTAAAAAAAACACTCACGCATGAGTATTTTTAAACACTGTTAGAGTACATTCGAAGACACAGTCCTTGAATTCATGAGTCTTTCTCTCAAACATTTCATATGTTCAGTAAAAAAAACACTTATTAGTAGAAAGAAAATCATTCAGTCAACGGGTCGAAGACAAAAAAACTTCACGCAATAAATGTAGTCGTCATTTGGCATGTCCAGCGATTACCACAAAAAGCACGTACAGCACCATACTACAAAAGAAAAGGAAAATAACGACATGGGAAAAAGTCACTATCTAGCCACATTGGCGAACATGTTTCTCAGAGAGGTCTTCAGCATTTTTTTTTTTAGGTAATGGCAAGCAGAGCAGCTGGAACGTCGTAAAAACTTTCGGCACATAAAAAGAACGCATGCTTTCGCCATAGTGAGTTCTCACTCGAGGAGATTGAAAACGCAGAACAGATCTAAGCTCGCAAGATGGACTGGCCGAGACCTTAAACTCACTCTCCCAGAAGTGTCGCCAAATTACTGTTTGAAGAAAGAGTGAATGAAAACACGGTAACTTAAGTGAAGCAAACAAGCTCGTACTAGATGACATGTGTGGGTTGTATGCTACACTCTTCAGAATTCCCTTTAACGTACGATCAATTCTTGAGCGCCAAAAGAGTGGACAGTTAAAAAATACGCTTATGCCATACCTTTGTGTACTATAGGCTAATGCGTGCATAATGCTCTTTCTAATTGACAAAGGTAGAAACGATTTGATATTGTAAAGCAGACATGAGACAGTTCTCAAACGTTGGCATATATATGACATGTGAGAGTTCCATGAGAGATCACTGTCGAACGAAAGACCTAAATACTTTACGGAGCTAACATATTCAACAGGTCTACAGTTAGAGCATGAGCAATTGGTGTTGTGGAGAAATAGCTGAGAAGTCAAGCTTACAATTTTTAAAAGGCTATGAAAGCAGACCAGCTTCGTTTTTGAAGCATTTACCCGAAGTATATATATATATAGGTAAAGTAAGGTAAATAAAAAAAAAACAGTGGACCCGGAAAAGTTAATAGTCAAAGATGCGTACTGTCGGAGTTACTAATTTGAAGTTTATTACGACGTTTCGAGCGGGGACCGCTCTTCATCAGGTAGCGACTGCACAACCCGCGAATGTTTATATACCCCTAAGCAGTATATATACAGGGTGTTTTTAAGCTTAACAGATTTGTTTAAAAAAAGCCGTGAAAGTTACACTTATGCCGCTTGTGGAGGTGAGTTATACGGCCAGGGGGACATATTATAGGGGGCTAATCGTAGCGATTGGTCGGCTAATTAACTAAAATTCGTTAATTAACTTTTTATTTAATAAAAATAGACATATGGTTGCAATTAGAAACTTGCTCAGCGTCATGGAAAACCACTAAATCAGTAATTTTCACAAAGACTTTGAGCGCCTGAGAAGCGTAGTATTATACTAAAGTTACCACTCGTGGAGCTGGACAAGGCTGGGGCTAGATAAGAGACGGAAAAATCGCGCGGGCGCCTTATCGAAACCGCCAGATTTGTACCTGTTCCACGAGTGGTAACTTTAGTGCACTACTACGCTTCTCACGCGCTCAAAGTCTTTCTGAAAATTACTGATTTAGGGGTTTTCAATGACGCTGAGCAAGTTTCTAATTGGAACCACATGTTAATCATTAATTAAAAAGTTAATTAACGAATTTTATTTAATTAGCCGACTGATCGTTACGATACGCCCCCTATAATATGTCCCCCTGGACGTATAACTCACCTTCACAAGCGGCATAAGTGTAACTTTCACGGCTTTCTTAAAACAAATCTGTTAAGCTTAAGAAAAACACCCTGTGTATATATATATATATAGAGAGAGAGAGAGAGAGACAGAGAGAGAGAGAGAGACCGATTTTAGGTTAAGCAGTTCAATTTTCAAACACAGTGCAGATTGATATTAATTTTGCATCATACTTTCCTTTATTGAACTGTGTTTATTTCGTCCAAATCACCGCTGCGAGGAGTATATATATAGGGATCCAATCTACCGCCAAAATGGGTGCTCTCTTGTATTAAGGCATAGAAAGCTTCTCCTGGGCAATCTCTGAGGTTTGCATCTCTTTGACCGTGGAGGCTGTACTTAGCTTGGATTTTCCCCTGGAAGTTGAAATAGAGAATATTAAACTACCTGAATCGCGACACGTTGTTCCACATGAGCGCACGCAGAGAAACCCTCTCTGTCTATTTATAAATCGTTAAAAAGGAAGTTCCCTCCCCGAAAAAAAAAAAGATTACATTACGTCGTTTACATTTATTTAATGCATTTACCTCCTAGAACCTCAATACTTAAATGTTTATGTGAATCCTGCTGCTGCTATTGCTCTTCTGCCTTTCCAACATTTATTAGCATCATTGTGTATATGTCAAGCGTAAGCGTCGCTTGATTACTTGCATCTAAGCACCGAGAATCAAATTTTCGGTGTACGCAAAACGTAACTAAACCGATGTCGGTATACGAACAAGCAACCTGAATGTTAGTAGATATACATAAATATATGTGCCACTGCGTAGCGAAAGGACGTCTGCACATCTGTTGGCAAAATACTGGTATTTGTTTTGTACATAAAATTTGTATCAGAAAATGAATGTTTCAAACGACGTCGCCAGTGACATTTCTATATTCTTCAATAGGCATTAATTCATTTTTGGAAGGTCTGCATATTTCCTCTTCTTTCAAACGGACAACTCAAACATCACCAGTTGACCAGCCGTTCATGTGCGTAGTTACCGTTGTGCTTGATGAAGGCTTGCGACAATAAAAGGCAGATGAATAGTGACTAAATTACTTCTAGAAGTGCAACGAACCTTTACATATACTCGTGTTAAGCTTTGTTTAAATAGACGTCAAATTTAAACACTTTAGTGCATAAAACCGTGCGCCACAGACGTGGCAATAATAGATTCATAGACAAAGAGCGGTTTTCAAGATTTTTTCTGCGCTCTCTACCAAGCAGACATACCGATTTAACACCACATTCAATGAGGACGCCGGCGGCGGCCAGCATTTTACTGTTGGGTACGTTGAATGTGAAGTTTCCGACGAAGGCCAAGGACACTGACTTGCTGTTATAGCTCAGCGTGTGAGCTCCGATGCCATTAAAGCCACGGCCTTCGTACACCCGTCCGTCGCCCCCAATCACAAAGTTGTAGGCGATGTCATCCCATCCTGCGTGACACGCAACATCACGTGCCTGTTAGCTGTATATGCTTTCATTGAATACAAACACCCGATATTTCATCGTCTGTTCGCAGATAGCATTTCATGTGCTTATTATATGTCCAGATCAAATCAAACCTAATATATTTATGGTTCAAAGAATCACAAAGAGAATATTCCATTTATCAGGAATAGAGAAGTAAGCGAATAAAGGCTCAATGAGGAACACTGCTTACTCCAAATCCTCTGCACGTTGCGCCCGCCACATATAAGCTATCCCAGCCAAAATAAATGACCTTACTTTGTGCTGATTGCAATATTTATTGCGATATTGTCGAACTTAAACTTAAATGGGGGCTATAAAGCTGCCATTTGGCCTCTCACAAATAATTTGGAAATATAATGTTCACCACTGCACTCACGTTTAGTGTCCATGTGGTAGTCTTGCCATTGGCGAATAATTTTGGCACAAGTTTCCACAGAATTACACTCGAGTCCTTCAGTATGATGATAAAACACTATTGTGACCCCACCATTTGTTCTGAGGTAATCCACATTTTTGGACTCCCTCGCACCCCAGTCCTTTCGCCTCACTAACATAATTTCTGCGCATTTTCCCGATTCCCAGTTCACGGCATTGTGCTCAATGGAATTCCTGTTGCTGTGATGATTACTCTGTACGATGCCTGGGGGTGAGTGTGCCCGCTGCGTGCGTACACCTGGTGAAAAAAAAAAAAGATAACTTTTAGTAAACATGATATTTGAGCAGCACGAAATGTACACTCGTATCGTCATCACTGCACACCTGTGTACGGTGGCACAATACACCCTGCAATGCACGGCTCTGCCGGCACACCTGCGGCGGACCTCCTGTCCGCGGGACGCATGCACAATTGCTTCACTTTACGGAACATGCTTTTTGTGCGCGCGAAGTGCCCCCATCTTGTTTGGGAAAACAGGGTGGGGCACTTTAATAATTTAACATTAACCGACAGGCGTAAACAGTTTGTTCTTAGATATGGTGTCTGATTATTACAGGGTACGGGTGTTCAATGCTTTCTACCGTTTTCTGTAAAATATGGAGTAGAAATAGATAACACTTAAAACACTCTTTCTTTTTCTAGGGGAGGGGGGAGCTATGCTTTCTAACAGAAATAGGCAGTATTTTTATACATCTAAAAGACGTTGCGTGTCTCGTATTTTGTATTTAGTTACATATTGACTAATGCATTTGTGATTTTTATATAAATATTAAATATTGTGTATATCAACTAATTGTGTTTGAATACTGACAAAATATCATTTTGGAAACTTTTCTTCAAAATCAAACGGGTTATTATAAACTCTTCGCGATGGGAGTCACATAAAGAGAGCGTGAAACCTTCTGCGTTATGCTCACTCAATGTTTATTCAATGTTTATTTTTTTTCTCGTGCTTACCAACAGCTCAAAGGCCTCGCTAAAGCACCACTCAGTCATTTGCACAACTACAAAATGCACATGATAACATTTATACACCTGCCTAAATTCATACTCACACTTAAATTAATAATAATAATAATAATAATGAAGTTTATTTCCCATTCGATACAGGAATGGAGGAAAGAGGGAAAAAGCTGTTTAACAGCTTGACGAAGCCCCCTGCTCCCTTACAGTTCCACATGACAGATTAGAAATACAAAGCAACAGCAAAAATATCAACATTGTATACAAAAATAGATTAAATAATAATAAATTCTCATAAATGCCTAAATTGTGTCTCATAAACATAAAAAAGTAGAATTGTAGAACGAGGATAGAACTGGGTGGGTACAATTACTAGGTTTTTGATTGGCTAATTAACTTTTTAGACGTCGAATTAACCGTATTTTCTTTGAAAAAACTTGATTGCTTCAACTGAGTCTTCTATAGTTTCTACTCTAACTAAATGCATTGTTGCCTGACGTCGTATCTGCTTACCTGATGGCAAACAAATTTTACTTTTAGTGCGGCAGCTTTTTTAGCCGCTTGATTTCTGGTATAGATAGACTCCACTCTGTATGTGAGCAAGCTAATTTTTTTATCTGTGGTTACATCGGTCGCACGTCAAAAGATCCCCATGTGGTCGAAATTCATCCTCAGTCCTCCGCTGGGGCCAGCCAGATGCCCGTCGTTGGTTTGGCACGTAAAACCCCCCAATTTGACTTGAGAAATCACAGAACTGTAGTATTGCACGTGGTTGGGCCTAGAATGTTTGGGAAAGAGCTAGGGCGAGACTGACTAGGCAAGGTCATTCTTGCCTCCTTATCGTTTACGCTCGGGGTAAGAGTGTACGCAAATCTTATAGATTAAGGGAGAAGCGTATCTTCTCGATCATACGCGCGGCAATATTGCGAACAAAATTTTGATATTCGTATTCGACTCGACATAGGACTTTTACTACACCCTTCGGTTCGAGTAGAACTTTCACTATTCGCATACCTCTAGTGTAAACTGCTTTCGCAAAATATTTTATATTTTGATACAAACAACAAGAGGAACGTTTGCTATTAAATGGCGGGCGTATTTTGTGGAGATTGGTTACAAGCGCGCATGCACCACGCTTTTGGGTGGCGAGGATTAAAGCATGAGAAAAGGCTGAAACGTTCGCAGATGATCAACGCTTTCGGAACCTCTTAGCTATTCGTGTTGCAAAGGCGGCCCATAGACCGCGTGCCTGAAAAGCGCCTTAAAAATGCTGTATATAATGCTGTGTCATTGCGTGCTCTCTACAGATGCATGTGTTGCTAGAACTTTTTCTCGAGTACCTGCGAATCGCTCTGTTGTGGTGCGTTTAATACAACCTAGCTTGTTGTTACAACTGCTTAGTCGAAAAGCTTCGAGCATTTTTTGATTTATCCATAAGTTTCGTTACAAGCTCATCAGATTTGCTTTGATTGTTATTATTTTTTGAACAGTTTGCAATGCAAAATATGCACCATTTCCAAATTGCAGGAAGACTATTGAGAGTAATTTACACAATCCACGCACACTCACTCAGGTGAATAAAAAACACAATATTAACTCGATTATGAACGTTTGAGGTGCAAAATGCTCGCGCCGCACTGAGTGCGATCATTATGATTGTACTGAAGACAGGCAGGATTTGTCAAAATCAAATGGGCGCTGTGACGGCCTGGAGCTGAGCTGGTTGGTTTCCTCTCCGATTTTTCTCTACGTTCAGCTGGTATTCAAGAAAGCATGTCGGACGCTGTTATTTTTACCTTTGATAATCTAAATAAATCTTAGATTTGAAAGCCTAATATGAATACTTAAGAAAATTGCTACAGAACGTGTTTCTGCGAAAGGTTTGGAGGTTTACACGGAATATGTCACAATACATCGACTATATTTTACAAGCACCAGCTAAGTCCTGATAATCAGTTTGGACCACTGTACTTGCCTTGGCAGTTTGCCATCCCTAACTTAGAAAGAGGTCAGTATATACGGTGTCTGTTTTGATTTCTAACTGATTTATTTAAAAACAAGAATCCGTAGAAGATAGAATATTTCAGTTTGTGCATGTGAGTTATACTGCCAGGGGAGCATTATATAAGCGTCTAATCCTCGAAGTAAGTCGCGTAATTAATTAAATTTTCTCAGTTACCTATTTGTAAATTAAAATAAAACATATGGTTTCATTTCGAAGCAACCCGAGACTGAGGAATACGAAAGTTGACACCAAGAGAAGAGAAGGAAGATGTCTTAAAACCCCTGAAAAGAAAAAAAAAATGTTTTATTTAGCATTTTGGTTGAGACACGCGTGTCAAAAAGTAAATTTTACAAAAAAAAAAAAGTTTAGAGCAATATTTATGGCGAGAGATTCATTTGAAATTCTGCGCGGGAAATTCATGACGTCACGCGTCATTCCGGAATGACCATCTACAGGGTGAAACAAGGAGACGCCAGGCTCTTTAAATCGACCGGAAAATTCGGTTTCTTAACCTATCGCGCTACAACTTTGTGCAGCGTTGCCCACAGGTGGTGCATTTTTTTTCTAAGATGTGCGAAGAGCGAACTTACCTGAGGAAAACGTAAAGAAAGAAAAAGGCTTAGCTCCTATGGAAACGCAGCGACGCCACCGATCCGCAAACAACACGGCGCCGTTGCGCACGGGACACAAGAGATGGCGCAAGCGGTCGCGACGCCAACTGCCGCCGACGAACGAGTAGACGACGCCGAGAGCCGGCCCTTTCGCAGACAAGGAACTGCAGTTCCTTGCTGTTACCGCGCCTGTCTTTTTTGTTTCTGCTACTGTCGCCGCCTGCGGAAAGCGCGCCGCTTTTGAGTCGAAAAGGTCGTCTGCTAAAAAGGCCTGCTCTCGACGCCGTATGCTCGTTCGTTGGCGGCGTTTGTTGCGCCATCTCTTGTCTCCCGTACGAAACGGCGCCGTGTTGTTTGCAGACCGGTGGCGTCGCTGCGTTTCTATAGGAGCTAAGCCCTTTTCTTTCTTTACTTTTTCCTCAGGTAAGTTCGCTCTTCGCAAATTTTACAAAAAAAAATGCATCATCTGTGGGCAATGCAGCACAAAGTCGTAGTGCGATAGGTTAAGAAACCGAATTTTGCGGTCGATTTAAAAAGCCTGGCGTCTCCTTGTTTCACCCTGTAGGTCGTAAAGGCGAAGACGATCCACCTCTCCTCCACGCGCCCAAATTGCCGAGAGAGAAAACAAGTGGAAAGGAGGTGACTGCCAACTAGATCGAGTCTCGCGCCGTCAGTATTACTGTAAATTTTTTTTCGCGTAAAATTACTTTTTTTGACACGCGCGTCCCAACCAGACTGTTAAAATAAGAACAAAAATCTTTTCTTTTCAGGGGCCCTTTAAACAAAGGCTGTGCTTCAGACGTTTTCCTTCTCTTTTCTTGGTGTCAACTTTCATATCCCTCAGTCTTGGGTTGCTTTAAAATGTTCAGTATACACCAGATCACTTGCGCCATTACGTTCTGCTTATATAGTTTCAATTGAAAAATTGTGAGCATCATCAAAAACCACTAAACTGATTTAGTGGTTTTCGATAATCGTCAGCGAGTCTCCAATTAAAACCACATGTTTATTTCCACTAATAATTAACTAATTAATTAAATAACTAATAATTAACTAACTAAATTAATTAAACGTGTTAATAATTAATAATTAACACATTTAATGAATTATCCGACTGGTTGCAAAGATAAATCGCCTAGAAATGCCCCCTGACCGTATAACTCACCTGAACAAACTGCATTAGCGTACCTTTTACGGATTTTCAAAATAAATAAATGTTGAAACTAAAATGTAACAGCCTGCGTATTTAAACACTCGGATGCACAGGAGGAGTCACAGTGTCACAGTGCCCTTAAGTAAAATTCCAGCACTTGTCGCCGACTCGTGCAAACGGCTAGGTCAAGGAGGGGTGATCATCGTCATAGCCGGGCTTTAGAAAATTAAAACTAAAAAGTGAAGTAAAATATAAGGAAAAATGATTTTAAGGGAGTCGGTCATCACAAACCAAGAAAAAATACGCGCTATCTAGGGTGAAACTTACGTCGTGTTACTTCTGCCGACGTCGCCGATGCACCCTCACCCGCAGTCCATTCCGAGACCAGGAGAACGAATGAGAGCATTGTTGCTCTAGTGGTGGTCATGACTTGTTTAAAATTCCTCCCAGCGCTCGCAGCCCAGAGCATTGATTTGAAAGGTGGTGAAAAAAGCTCATCCTTCTTAAATAAAAAGGATATTCCAGAAAAAAATAAGAAAATACTGCCACGTGATTAATTTACGCCTTCTTATGTGCTTACAATGAATGCCTTGAAATAGGAGTGATGAGGAACAAGACAATATAAGAAACACATAAAGAAGTGAAGCCACATTCCATTAGTAATAACTTCGCGCAAAATAATTTATTCATTGGCGAAAACACGATTGCAGTAATTTTATTAGTGTTTTTATGTAAGTCCCGAAATGATATCAGACAATAAGTGAGCATTGTCTACTACTGATTTCTCATTTCAAAAGATTTAATAAGATCCAATCCATTTCAGAAAAATGTTGTGCATAATGCAACTTGAGATAAAGTCCAAGTAAGTTTTCTTTTTCTCAATTTTATTTTAATAAAACAAAAATATGATCAGAATATATTATTGCGGCGTTTTTATGATTATTTATGAGTTGTTCAATGCATACAAACAAATTTAGCATGTTAAACACTCCATTCTCTTGAATGCTCAATCTCGAATAATACGGCTTTTAGATTAATTCGATGCAAAGGTAGGAACCATGTTCGTGTTGGTTCTCTAGCTATGCTATTCCGAAAGGTGGTTTTGCAAGAGCAATCAATCTCATCACCCGCCATGCCCAGACAGAGGTCAAATGAGTCACTAAATGCTGGGGAAACAGTATAATTTCATACCTCGGTCTTTTCAACACAGTGGAATTGACTGTCGTGCAATACATAACAATAGAGGCTTCTTCACCAAAGAGAAGGCACCTTGAAATACCGATAAATTTCATTAGTATTTCAAGCAAATACCGATTAATTTCGAAAATTAATTCCAGTGATGGTTTTATCAAAACCGGCGAAAGCCGAAGAACTCCGAATTGGAGCTCTCGTTCTCTAAGAAAACACTCAAGCGGCACGGAGAGAAACTCTATATCTACAGCTTAATGCTGATTTAACCTGGCACGAGCCCCCGCTGAACTGTCCGCGAAGCTACGGTGCCTCGAACGTGCCTCCGACTCGTGCTCTGTATTTGAGAAAAAAAAAAAAAAAAAAGACACACACAATCTTTTTTATTGGGCCTCTAAATTAACAAATATAACATTAGGGAGTTTTAGTAGATCGTCTTCAAAGGCCCGCTACCGCTACAAGCGCGCGCTTTAGAGCATTCATCGAAGTGGCAGCGCGAATTAGCGGGCCTGAGAACACGATCTACTAAAACTCTCTAATTTTGTTTCATTTGGTACACGGAGGCTTTAGAGAATATTTTTAAAGTGCCGTTTAAGTCCCCCTTTCCCGGAGCGTGACGTTATATCCAGAGTTTTCGCAATCTCCCCTCCCGCGCATCTTCAGCGTCTGTCAAAGCTACCCACGCGCACTTTTGGTATATTAAAAAAAAAAGTCACAAGAAGTCGTCACGACTGGTGTCAGTGCGAGGGAATGTATACTTGGCAAGCAGCAATCGCACGAGATGTCCACATGAGCAACACGCGCTTGGCGGCCAAAAGATCTCTGTATGACGTAACGACTGGTCGGATGATTTTTGTGTATTTTCGCGTTTAGTTATATTTTCGGGAAAAACGAACGTGATATTCAGATTAACAAGATAAAAATACTCTACAATTCCTCTCTAACTCGTTTTTTTTTTTTCAAGAAGCTTTTTTTCTTTTTTTTTTTCTTCTTTTTTTATGTACGAGACGCATGCTCGTCAAAAGTCTCCGATCCGACGTGCAAACTGTCAGAAAGATGGCTGCTTCGACTCGCCGTACACGACAGATGAGACACACGCTTCCGACGCGTCGTTCCACTCTGCTGAGCCCAGTTTTGGCTATCCCTCTATCGGACGGATGGATGAATGTTAATGCCTGTAGTGATAAATGGCGGTAGCTTGCGCCACCTAGCCTTGAAACCAAAAATATTAGTCCTTCCCTCGCCATTCGTGGTTTTTCTGACTTCGAAACAAATAAAATATTTTTATTATAATTCATCAAAGTGTGCATGTCTGACGATTTTAGGTTAGGTTACTTCTTTTTTTCTCAAAGTGACTTAATCAGGATGAACCGCAGTGGACCATAGGAGCCATCCTAGCGAAGCGAGCACTGCGTACTAATCACGTGACTACGAACTGGCACATTGCTGCGTCTACCCCCGAAGGTCACTTGACGCTGACACGGCATTGGAAGAACTCGTAACGACCGCTGGGGTCCATCATAAGCTGGTGGTGGTGTCAAACTTTATTAACAATATGACGCCCTGTTAGCGCTAGGATCATAAGGTGAAACGGAGTATATCCGGGTCTCGACGGTCTCGATCGGTTCCAGAAGGCTACAAGGCAAGCCTATGGATGCGCGAAATCAGCAGCTCGGTTTGTGTGCGCAAGAAATCTTCATGGCGTCTATTCCCTTCACGACGACGACTCGCGGTGTGGCGCACCGCTTACATCCGCCTCCCCGGTCCTCCTCTCCCGAACGTCACATGACAACATGACGTTTGCGCCATTTTTGCTGCCATTGGTTGCGGCCCTCGGACAGTCGGACGGCGGTGCTGAGAATATCTGGCAAGTTGGTCGCACGCCGGAGCCGGACGGAGCCCCATGTCCGACGCTTCGGTACACTCTCAACAAAAGGGTAGTCCTAGGGTACTACATTTGGGGTAGTCAGAAGCCGTCATAGATATCGCTACCCCCCTTAGTAATACTAACGACCCCATGGGTAGTCACGCGGCATGCAATCAACAGGTAGTCACAGTGAGCACCCCCAAAAAGCAACATGGCGGCAGGCAAGCGACAGTGGAGCAATACGAGAAAGGCCTAGCGAGCTGGACTATTTTTGCTAAAATACGATTCTCAAGTGCGTACGCCCGTTCGCTGCCTTCCGTGCGCACTAAAGCACTTCAAAACGCGCCTCGAAGCACCGGCACCGCACCTATTACGAGTAGGGGCGGCGATGTGAAAGGGGGGGGGGGGGGGGGGGGGGGGCATTCGAGGGGGTTTGTCCGCGACTGCTTTCGCGCGGCCGGCTGCATTCACTTCGCGGCCACAAAAAATTCAAAGAAGGAACCGTATAGCGACAAAATAAATTATGTCTTTATATAGCAGATAATATGCTTGCTGTGCTTGACGCAAGTGATCCGGCGTTTTCGGTTGACAGCGGCGAGGCGAGGCATCACCGATTCAAGCGGCGTCGGTTCCGATCGTTCAACGATCCTGCTCACCTGTTAGCGTTCGTTAGCCACTTTCAAGTCCCTGGTAATCCCCACCGCGTCTGTGCACGCACTATTCACCGCACGGAACACCTATTCAACTGGCTATGTGACTGATCCCACTGGGACGAGAGGCCGAAAACCGAACCCTTTGTGGCTGCTCCCTGGAGCCATGGAGCGCCTCATGTTTTTCACTCAAATAAGTAGACACATAAACGCGCGACCCCTTGAATTGGGCGGCGACACGCGCCACCTAACGGACAGCGCTCAAACTAAGAAGAAAAAAAAACAGTCTTTGCTTTGAGCGCCTCGCCAGACATGCGCGTACAACGTATTCCACACCACGCATCACTCATAGGCGACATAGAGACACCATACAATATTATACATGAACAAGTTCACAAACAGCACAAGGAACAACATGAGATATTGACACTCTACATTCCTAAACGCACGACTTGTCGACACCACCAGCTTATATACTGCTGTATTTTCTGTGACCGATAAGGATGGTGACCACTGTAATATTTTGCATAAATACGAAAAGACTGTGCAAGAGTTTTCTGTATATATTATTTTCCTCTACTGCCCTTAAGAAAGCGCTCGTATCTCTAATGTAATCCATTGCGAAAGTGAACTGCAGGTTATAAATCAAATTGAATAGTCGCTACAAGTCACGTTTTGATCAGTTTCGTTTTCTCGCTTGCCTACACTTCAAGTAAACAGAAGCCTGTTTAATTAATTGTATTATTTATCGAAACCAATTTCTGCAATCACAACTTTCTGAACACGCTGATGCATTTTCTTTTCTCTTTTTACATATCCGAATGACTTCAGCGGCGGTTGAGTAAATGTTGAGTACACTGAGCGCGCGCAGGTGATTTTAGCGAAGCCCGTCCGCCGGTCCTCCCCGAAGCTACAGTGTTCCGAAGCGTTGCTTTAGTTTTCTTCTTTTCGCTACAATTGTTTCTGCTCAAGCGCGTGTCTTTCAAATATGCGCCAAAAGGACAGTGCAGAATTGCCGCTGTCGGGCATGTGCCTTCCCCTACAGCGAACGCGAAATACGTGTGCTAAATTGTCTGAAGCCTGGTTCAGACAGTGGCGTTTGACTGCTTTGCGGTAGCGAGAAACCAGGACATCCCTGCTGCTTATATCGCGTGCCAAGACGATTCCTTGAATCGCATTCCACGCTTCATACGAAGCACAGATGTGCCGGTGAGTCGCTTTCGGTTCTCGACGCAACGCTGTCAAACGCATTCAAACGCAAGTGTCTGAACCGGCCTCAAGCATCAAAGAGCACCGAGAACATAGTTCTCTGCGCTGCACCTGATGGCTTCTCCAACAGTACTTTTCTAAAAAAAAAAAAAATCTAAACCGAATAGCACCTGTATGTTTGCCAACGCCTTATTTTTGGAAATTTACTTGGAATCCTTTATATAGGTAAAGGGAACGCGCGCCGAAAGGCCTGAAATCCTAGTCCTCTTCAAAGTACTCCACCTTGAATTTCACACACTTGTTTGAAGCATTTTTGTTTGAAGCATTTTTTATCGAGTATGCTCGATGAAATCTGCCAAACGAGCCAGTGAAGGCGAATCATATATCCTAAGACAGAGAAATACTGAAATACACGGGCATGATCCCAGATATCTGTGTACGTTCGTCCTGTCCGGCCTCAGTCGTGATGTGCAATGCTTCATACTTCACTGCACTTGAAAGCAATACAACTGG